GAGATACAATTTGAAGTTTTACAATTTAGCAGAAAATTGTCCGTATATCTTCTCGGCATTCTGTATATTAATCTATTTAGAAATTTCGCAAGAGAGTTTAGTGGATAGTATATTAATCTATATAGAAATTTCGCAAGAGAGTTTAGTGGATAGTATATTTTAATATAATAGAGTGCTTTTTTTTATAGCTCGAAAAATAATAAACAACTGAAATTTTATCGTAACTATACTGTTGCCACAGTAGTTTACTGTGAATGTTACACGAAAAATTTTTACTAATCGATTTTCATATAGGACTACATATAGATTTGATTTACATAGTACATTTAACACCCCAATGTGTCGTATTAGTTCGATCTTACCGCAATTGTTTTATATGTCGTAACTGTTATATGTCGTAACTCGTATATACGTACTATACTTTATAATATTTTTATGACGTAGTTATGACATTACTATTTACATGTAATTTAAAGTTACGCTATATTAAAAGTTATATATTTATCAGTACTATTTACATGTAATTCTAAGTTATGTTATGAATCAAAATTACGATTTTATTTAAAGTTACGTAACTTATTATTAATGCACAATGTAACTCAAAATTCATTGGGACGATTCTACGGCATTACTAGTTGGCAATACAGCGTTGTGGTATTACATTCTGGTGCTATGTTATAGTTAAATTCTACCATGAGCTGCAATATTATAATTAGAAGTAGGATCGGAACCGTTTAAATTTCTTAATTGTTTAGCCGTTTAACCGTATTAACCACTTAATTCAGCCGGCAATAATTTTTATGCGATTAAACCGATCCAATTTTTTACCAAAAGATATTAACTATATTCACTTAAGTTTTTTTATGCAGTATTAAAAAGTTTATATTAAAACATTTATAATTTATAACATTTGATTAATTTATATTAGTAAACTTTATTTATAATTATTTTCTTTATTTTTTTTTATTCGTTTTTAAATTACAAAAAAAAAAAAAAAAAAAATTAAAAATCAAAAAAATCGAGATACTTAGTTTCAGAGATTTTTCTTGTTTAAGAGATCTCTCTTACTTGTCCCAACCACCGCGTAGAGGTGTATCTCGTCGGTTGGGAAGGTTTCCCCCAACCCGTTTCTTTCGAATTTCCTTATCGAAAGTGGGTTGTTCCACTTGAATTAATACCGAAGTATTAATTCAATAAGCTTTAAACTCATAACCTCTAGAGTTCAGATACTATTCTATACTATACTACTTTTCCACCCTCTCCTTCCACCCACCGAAGCCGTAACCCATAAGTTTTTGACTTTTAAAGAATGTACCAAACCAGCTCCTTCTGCGAAACCAGCGGACCTTCCTTAAAAGTAGGAAATACAAAAACTTATGCCTAGTTAACGGTTCCATCGCCAATAACAACCTAAATTCGACCTAAACAATTCAAACCCACCAACAACGACCTAGACAATCTAAACCCACCAACGACTTCCAACAATGACTTAAAAAAAACATAAACGAAAAAAAACAAATAAAAAAAAAACAAAAATGAAAACAACATGAACAAAAAAGACAAATAAAAAAAAAAACATGAACAAAAAAACATAAACGAAAAAAAAAACAAATAAAAATAATTAAACGAAAAAACATAAACGAAAAAAACAAATAAAAAAAACATAAACGAAAAAAAACATAAACGAAAACATAAATGAAAAAAAAAGAGGGTTAATATACGTTAGTAAAGAAATGAACAAATAAAAAAAAAAAAAAAAAAAAAAAAAAAAAGAATTAGAAGATGTTAATAAAGCAATGAACAACCGAAAAAACAACCGAAATATAAATGAAATAAAACGAAAAAATGTAAACCACGTAAACAAAGATAATTTATACATCGCGTAATGATCTACATATTGCATAAATCCAGAAATCGTATTCTTGATATTCTTACAATCTATTAACCTAAATACATCAAAAAAGTCACCCCTAGCCATCCCGAATACGGATTTAGGCAAATGAACACGTGCCCCACCAAAATCTGTTACGTAATCGCTTTTTAAATTTTTTTTTTTTTTCATAAGAAACCGCCTTCTGCGCTCTAACAAAAAATTTTCCTCGAGGAATTTTACTATATGCAGATCCTAATATAAGCATAAAGAATTTTTCGATTAGCACGTGCCCAGTTCTTTCTTTGCCATGGCTAGGATACTCGTTGTTTTATGTAGAGATATATGAGTGCCGCCAAGGGAAAACCTGAATCCGGAAAGTACAGGTTAATATCATCATGATGAATTACTAAACGATTTTAATAACCTGTACTTTCCGGATTCAGGTTTTCCCTTGGCGGCACTCATATAGAATTTTTATCTAATTATATAAACCCGATATAGATTTATATACTGTAGTTATATTTCATATAGCTATAATTTCATATTTACGGATATAAAAATAGGGCTCTTTACATATAAAAAATTTTTTTTTATTAAGTAAACCTTTTTTAACTTCTAATCAAAGTTGTAGAGTTATAACGATAACGATAATAATAAAATCATCAAAATCAGTTGGATATACGTATTACAAGATGTGAATATTTTTTAATATTTTACTATAGTTCTTTTTATAAATCAAAAATATTTAGCATTTTACTTCTATACAATATAATTTCAATATAATAACTGAATCAGCTACTATAATTTTAGTTAAAATTATAGATTCATTATATTAAGATATCTCAATACGTATATGTATATTGAAATCTTGATATACACCTTAGTTTTAGTGTTTTGTATATTGAAATTAGACTCTATAAAGCGAATAGTAAACTGTACTAATTTTTATTATAAAATTTTGGGTTTTCAACTGCAGATTACTTTTTAATAATCCAAAACATGATACTATATTCTAATTTTATAAAATTCACTAAACTTATATTTTGTTGCTAGATTATAGGGAGCTGACAAAAATTAGGTAATTATAACCCCTCAGGGAATATTCATTAGACAATGCAATTTAATAAGTCAAATTGGTATGTTATATTACAGCTGTTTTCAAAAAAAGGTGTGAACAGACGCAAATAGCTATATCACGGGAAATTCACGAAATTACCCAGATTTCCAAACTTTCAAAGCCGGATCTTCAATTTTTACTAATGATAATTTCCCAATTCTTTGATTCCCCACATAGGTATGTGGGAATCGTTGTTCACACCTTTTTGAAAACAGCTGTAAATTGCATTGTCAAATGAGTATTCCCTGGGGTTATAATTACCTAATATTTTTCAGCTCCCTTACTAAACTATTTTATTATTAAACTATCTATTAGTAGTATCCGTTTTAAAATTATAAATAAATAAAAATAATTTAAAAAAATTACTAAATATATTGATAGATTTATATATTATACAATATAAAATTTTTTTTTTTTTCCTTTTATTTATTTTTTTTTTTGAGGATGAATATAGAAAATTTATTTTTACAAATTAATTTTGTATCAAAATGTAAATTCAAAACTTATAGTATGCAAACCGTTTATAAGTTTAAAGTTAGTTCCGCGCTGAACGAAGATGACATCATATTATTACCTGGCATATTTACGTCAGAAAGCTGGAACATATAATTATATGTCAAATTTGAGATTCAATTCCGAATGGTTACTACTTAACGGCTTCACCTTATAGGCATTGCATTAAACAGAATAACGCTTATGACTGGATAAACAATTGTGAAATCATTCGTCATATCGAATTTCTGTATCCCCAAATTGGTTGGTTTTAATTTTACCACGACGATATTCATCAAATTCTTCTCTGGTTCTTGGTAAACCCATAGAATATTTATCACCACGACGATATTCATCAAATTCTTCTCTGGTTCTTGGTTGACCCATAGAATATTTATCACCACCAACATCATCCTTACTATCGAACTTTTGTTGTCGTGAACTATTATCATTAATTTGTTTTTGTTGCTCAAGTTTAGCATTTGCACGGATTTTGTCCCAAGTAGTTGAAGTTGTGTTTTGAGTTCGAATTCTATTCCAGGAATTATCTTGTGAAGATTTGTGAAATGGCTTTTGTGGTTGACCTAGTTGCCCAGATACAGTAATGATTATATTTCCGTTTAAATAAAAAAAAACAACAGGGTTTGAAATTTATGAAGTTTAAAAATTACCATAATTATAATCACTCTCATTTGTATTAATGTCTCTAACCATCTCATCTGTCATTATCGTAGAATTTCCAGAATGATCGTAAGGTCCCTGGTGAAACGAAGATTGAGATTTTTTCTTCTCAAATTCATCGGCTAGAGTGGATTGATTTCCATTTTCAAATCTATAATCATCAGAATTTGTAGATTGATCCGGAAGAGGTGGTGTATGACGCGGTGGAAGATGCTGTCTTTTTTTCATTACATTAATTAAATTCTCACATATTTAAAAAATTTAACCAGAGCGAAAAAAAATAATATATAGTGCCATCTAAGGTAATTATAATATAATTCTAAAAAAAAAGAAAACTCAACTGCATTTCACTAATAAATTCCATAATACGTTGTGAATTTGGAGATGATTTTATCAAATTAATACTAGCTATCGACCCCGTCACCATTCCTGCTTGGCTACCAAACAAAGTAGTGCCTATAATAATACATAAATTATTAGTTAAGTAGAAGTATTTAAACACTTCGCAAATGATTACGTAATTGAGATTTATTAATTTACCAAAGCATAACCAAATAGTACCAAAAATTCTAATTTTTTGAACTTTTGCTTCATATATTAAAAAATAATAATAAAATCGGTGTAATGATACGTTAATAACTTGAAGAAATATATATATATATATTATAAAATTTTGAATTATCATTGAACTACAAACCAATAGCACCACCGACGACTAAACCAGTCAAAGAACCTATTCTCACTATAATTAAATAAAATGAAATTATTCGATAAATTAATACATAATTCTATATTAGACTTGTAATTATGTATAAAAATATGAAACCAACACACTATGCATAGAAAATTTCGATTTTGCACGATTTAGAATTTCAATTTCTTCTTGCGTGAAATTGTATTCTTTGGCTCGTTCTTTAATTCTATCATATACTGACATCTTATTTATCGAAAGTGAATCTCGGCGCGGCGGTAAATAACCTCGCTATGCTTATATCGAATTATGTAAGATAACTTTCTCACGATAATCTTCAAAAAATTGTTGCAATTGATGTGATCATGTGATAATCCACCAATCATATTTTTCGCTACTATCCAACGTCCAAGTGTCCAGGTGTCCAGAGCATGTCCAAGTTTTAATAATTGTTTAAAAAATATATGATTATATATTTTTTTAGGTGCTAAATATATTTTACTTAGAAATTAATATAGGTTATCTTAATAAAATTTTGAGTAATTTTAATTTATTTAGTTGCTCAAAATTGTCCAAAGTGTCCAAGCTTACTGTCCACAACTGTTCCGTGACAACACTGTACTACGGTATAGAAATTCAATACAGTAAAACTATAAGTGCACGCTCTTGGGACAGACTTTAACAGCGTGCACTTAGAGAACAATAAGAAAAATGAATTTATTGGAAGTCATATATAGAGGATTATCAATTAAAACAGCCCTTTTTTACATGTAAATCATTTTGAGTAAATCAGGTTTAAAAAAAAATACAATAAACAAGATTTTTGATCTAAAAATAACTTTTCACGGTTCTAGAAATTCCAGAATATACCGGTCGGTAACTCGTAACTTTAATTTATTTTAGATTAATATCGTTAGTGTACGATCGATAAAATTTTCATTACGTCGTGTATATCGTTCTTGTTAGTTTTTTTTGTTTTTTGTTACTAACAGTTAAACCTCATCCATTTAAAAAACAATTATATATAAATGTATAAAAAAACATTTTCTAGCAAACCTTGTTGACTTTTACTAATCTTTCGGAATTGGTTGAACTTTCTCGTGGATCTTTTGTTGGAGAACTTTCATGTGGTTTTCGGTGTTTTTGAAGAACTTTCTCGTGGACTTTCCTTCTGTCTTTCGACGTTTTTGGAGAACTTGCAGACTTTCCTCTTGTCTTTTGGCGTTTATTAGTAAATGAACTTTCTCCTAATCTTTCGATATTTTCTAGTACCTTGTAGACTTTTATTAATCTTCGTAATTGGTTGAATTTTTTCGTGGATCTTTTGTTGGAGAACTTTCTTGTTGTTTTTGGTGGTTTTGAAGAACTTTTTTGTGAACTTTCCTCCTGTCTTTTGATATTTTTGGAGAACTTTCTTGCAGACTTTCTCTTGTCTTTTGGCATTTATTAGTAAGTAAACTTTTCTTCTGATCTTTCGACTTTTCTAGTAAACCTTGTAGACTTTTACTAATCTTTTGAAATTGGTTGAACTTTCTCATGGATCTTGTGGTTTTTGGTATTTTTATGAACTTTCTTGTGGACTTTTCTCCTGTCTTTTAACGTTTTTGGAGAACTTTCTTGCAGACTTTCCTCTTGTCTTTTGGTGTTTATTAGTAAGTGAACTTTCTTTTATTCTTTCGACATTTTTAGTAAACATTGTAGACTTTTACTAATCTTTTGGAATTGGTTGGTGAACTTCCTCGTGGATCTTTCATTTGTTGGAGAACTTGTGGATTTTCATGTTTTCAGTATTTTTGAACTTTCTTGTGGACTTTCCTCTTGTCTTTTGATATTTTTGAAGAACTTGCAGACTTTCCTCTTGCCTTTCTGCATTTTTTTTGGAGACTTTTCTTGTAGACTTTCCTCTTGTCCTTTCAGCGTTTAGTTGGTGAACTTTCTTAATGAAATCAGAGAAATGTTAACACTAAAGTCTAACTATTTTTTTGTAGATTTTCCTCTGGTCCTTCGGCGTTTTTTTTTATGGAGGATTCTTTTGTGAATTTCCCTCTGGTCCTTCAGTATTTTTTTTTGAAGAATTTTTTTGTAGATTTTCCTCTGGTTCTTCGGTGGTCTTCTGGTAAATTTCTTGTGGATATTTTGAACATTTTTTTTTTAGAGAATTCTTTTTGTGGATTTTCCTCTGGTCCTTTGGTGTTTTTCTGGCAAATTCCTTGTGGATATCCCTTTATTCTATCAGCATTTTTCTGGCGAATTCCTTGTGGATTTCCCTCTGGTATTTCGGTGTTTTTTTTTGAAGAATTTTTTTGTGGATTTTCCTCTGGTCCTTCGACGGTCTTCTGGTGAATTTCTTGTGGATATTTTGACTTTTTTTTGTTTGGAGAATTCTTTTTGTGGATTTCCCTCTGGTCCTTCAGTGTTTTTCTGGCGAATTCCTTGTGGATATCCCTTTAGTCCTTTGGCGTTTTTCTGGTGAATTTTTTGTGGATTTCTCTCTAGTATTTCGGCATTTTTTTTGAAGAATTCTCCTGTGGATTTCCCTCTGGTTCTTTGGCGTTTTTCTGGTGAATTCCTTGTGATATCCTTCTAGTTCTTTGGCGTTTTTTTTTTGGAGAATTCTCTTGTGAATTTCTCTCTGGTCCTTCGGCATTTTTCTGACGAATTCCTTATGGATATCCTTCTGGTTCTTTGCCATTTTTCTGGTGAATTTCATGTGGATTTCTCTCTGGTATTTTGGCATTTTTTTTTGGTGAATTCTCTTGTGGATTTTTCTATTGTCTTTCAGCATTTTTCTGGCAAATTCCTTGTGGATATTCCTCTGGTCTTTTGGCATTTTTTTGGTTCTTGCATGTACTTGCAGATGCATACAACATTTTTGTCAATAAACATGCTTATTAAGATTGTTATTATTGTATTATAGATACAAGTACGCATAAGTTTTTTTTTAACAATATAAAATTTTAA